TAAGATTCACTGCAAACTTTGGAATCCAAAGGAAAGAAATCTTACATCCTTTTTGAATGAATCTCATTCCAAAAAAAATGTGAAATTTTACTCCAAAAGAGTAAAAATCTGCCACTCTTATTCATGTAAATTTTTCACTCTTTTTCAATAGTGGCAATATTTTAACTCTTTTCGAATAAGATTTTACTCCAAGAAATTGAGAGTAAATAAAATTATACTTATTCCAAAATATACCTACAATCTATTTAAATAAAAAATTTAAATTCGTGTTCATTTCTCAATATAAATTAATATCGGTTTAACCTATTCTTCATCTTTGTCTGGTTCCAAGAAATAGAAAAAGATAAAGAATAAATTGATAACCAAGATTAATGTTAACCTACGTTAATAGAAATAGGCTCCAATAATAAAAACGTTAGAAGAAACTGATAACGAGATTAAACTGGAGAACAACTCGTATCGCGCGAAACGGCCTGCGTAACCGCGATAAATAATGAGTCGCACGAGGATCACACGAGCGAATAAATAACGCGTATTTCGCGCGCTTAAACGGCTAAATGAACGAATGCCAGAGGTCGAATGGCTGATTCATGAAATGTGCCCGCGAAATCGACGATCAGGGGATTTTGCGCGGAATCCACAGGTTTTATGTTCGGCGCGCGCTTCGTCGCAGCGAAAATGTTCCTCCCGATCTTTTTTCTCTTAGTTTTTTCTTTTTTTATTTTTTTTATTTTAATGAAAACATGTTAAACGGGCACATACATAAAACTGTCGCATCGACCCGTGAGTTCCATATCGATACTGCACGCGCGAATTACAGACGCACCGATTAATATCCATTCGACTACGCGCATGACTTTAAAATATCGTTTCGAGCAATATACGCAGCGTCGCGTTTTAATCGTCGGTGAATGTAGCGGACAGTTTCCGGAAATTATGTCCGTCGGTGATCCTATATTCTGTACTCTGACACAACGTGTGTTTTATCGCGAAAAATTGCGGTAAACGCCAGTACACTGGCTCGAAAGTTGACAGCGACGCGTTCAGCGCTGACGTTAATAAAACTTCAACTACGTGAAAATGCAGCGGCGTGACATGACGAGTATCATGTCGCGTGTCCAATTTTTTTTAAAAAACATGATATAATAATCATTAAATATTCCCATACATAACAAGTGATTTCGTATAAAAGTAAAACAAGCGCGAGAAACCGCGCGTATCAATTACGCGGAAATGCAAATGTCGTTTATACGCTTGAGTAATGCGCAAAAGAGATTATTTTTTCTTTTTTTTTTTTTTTTTCGTAATCTCGAAGGAATTACAATCGAGGAAAACTTGTCGGCGACATGCGTGCAACACTCACAACGACATATAGAAGTTTGTACACTGAGAGAAAAGTGTTTGGTATTTATGATTTTAATTACACGGTAAAATAATTATAGTTGAAAACTCCAATTTTGTAGTTCTTTACTGCTGTAATGTTAGTAATAACAATAATATATTTATAGTACAAAAAGTATAAAAATGATTGTAAATTATAGTTAAGTTATAAATGCAAAAATGTTTGTTCTCTCAGTGTACACTGATAAAAATTTTTGGTATATTTGTGACTATAATTATATGGAACTATAATTTATTATAATACGATTACCGTAGTAATATTACTATGATATTAATAATAATAATTAGATATATTTAGTTTTATAAAAAATATATATAGTTGACATTGATTATAAGTATAATTATTATTATCATAAAAGTTGTGATAATCATAATTGAACTATAATTTCTAGTCATTTTCTGTGCCAATTGCATATATTTTGATAAAATTATAAATATAATTACTATTACCAACATTTTAACAACCATAATTCTGGTACCATATAATTAGTCGCAAATATCAAAAATATTTCTCTCAGTGTAGAAGCTGTAAAAGCTAAAGAAAGCTTTAAGTATACTCACGAGACTTTGCAGGCTCTGGTGGGGCGACTTCCGTCAACTGCAAAAGAAAAATTCAAGACTCAGTGTTTACTCAGGACAATCAGCTTTTACGATCATATTGTATTCTGCCGGAAGGGATCAAGCCAATCACGCGTGGACCGTCCCTTTTTGCAGAATTTAATTTACCATTAGAACATTAAAACGGGACGTCACGTGCACATATCTACCGAGAATTATATTCGCTTCTACAAAATGGCATACGGCAAATAACTCGGGCATAGTTTACACATAGTTTGTCAAATAACGTCGGGGTAAGGATTTAACGTTGCAAAAGGGAACGAAGGAGGAAAGTTCGCGAAAACAACAGCGGGGAAATTAAACGGATCTGGGAAAATTTGTAAAGGGAACCGCGAGAGTGTACTTCGTCTCCTCGCTTCTCGTTTCCGCATCGAGTAATTTACAACGCGTCCCCGCGCGTCTGCCTTGATACCCGAGGACCCTTCTCCCGGCATAATAGAAATTTATCGCGCGGTTTGGCCGGCCCTTTACGTGCATTCTTGTAATCGCGAACGAAATAACATCTCAGTCTCGGCGGTGCTCCCGCGAAACTTGACGCGAAATAATCAACTTGTAATCGCGCCAGCCAAGTGTCTACCGCAAATAAATACCGTAAAAAAGGCAGATTAACGACTACGCTATTATGCAACAAATTATCGAAATTGTTACTCTAATTAAGTAGCAATTGTCACTAAATTTAAATTAGCCCGTAAGTAAATATTTCATCAGATAACAATAAAATTAATCCTATACTACATTAAAAAAAAAAAAAATACTAAATTGTAATAAATATTTGTTTAAATAGTTCTAAGTAAATATTTACTAAATATAAACATGTATTTATTTGAAAATTATTAATTTGTAAAAACCACTTTTTACAAGATTTTAATTTGATTTAACTATTATTTTTTTTTTTTATTAGATAAATATTTATTTACGATAAGTATATGTTAACTATTCGAAGAAGTATGTATTAAGATTTAGTAATTTTTTTTCTTCAGTGTGTTACGCGATGTGTGACATGGTATTAGAGAGATCGAGCATAAATTTCCATATTTCTCACACACAACGCGGACGCACCACAAAGCGCACGCACCTGCTTGAGTTACCTGCTAAACGGTAATTATACCGTCTACAAAAAGCCGGTATTATACCGCGTAACGATTCCTTTCATCTGCGAGAGCGCGAAGTCGACCACACACCGGTCGGATTCCACCGGGCGCCGCGCAATTTCGCGAACGCACCCGCGCTATTTCATTCCCGGTAAGTCCACGAGTAATTCTCGCGACGTTTGAGCGGAGAAAACGCCGGCAGCGATTTTGCATTCGGCCGTTATTACAATTTACTCGCGCACGCAAAAAGGAATCCCCAGCCGGGAATGTATATATGTATACGTATATATACGACGGGTCCGAATTAATCCACTTTTACGAGGCCGATTTCGCCCGGCCTCTCTCTCTCTCTCTCTCTCTCTCTCATCGCCCAGTCTCCTATCCCTCCTCTTTTATCGCGCACTTTTTTCCCCAACTCTTTGCCAAACCTTCCGCAGTTTCGTCGGCGGGACGCGGGGAAGAAAGGAAACAAATTTATAATACGCAATGCAGTCTCCTGCAGCGTGTCGGTCTGCAAATATCATGCAAAGTCCTACCAGACGTTATAAATCGGTTGCGGCGGTTGTGATAAACGACGTGTAAAAGCGGTGAAAGTTTCGTAAAAACTTTCAGAAATCCAATCAATTGATAAATAACGTGTATAAATTTAGAGAATCCTAATTCATCTATTAATAATTTTAACACAATCATTAAATCTTTCGACAGTAAATTATAGGTTCTTTAATTCTTTTCTCTTTTCTCCGTTTTCTTTTCATTCATATCTTAAACTATGTTGCTCAATATTCAATTACAATTATAATTCTTGGTAATATTCGGTTTTTCGAAAATTTATTATACAACGTTTATATTAAAATTTATATAAATCTTTATCACTTGTTTTTTTTAATTATTTCATGGTTCTTTTAATTATGCACGGGAAAAAATATTTGGTTGAATTAACTGGAATTCTGATGGAAAATGAACAATCCAGAATTTTTGTTAAATCTAGATTTCTGATGAAATCTACTAAATGTTGGTTTCAACTAGAATTTTAATAGATATAACCAGAAATCTTATAAATTTAACTAGAATTCTGGATCGTTCCTTTTCCACCAGAATTCTAATTAATTCAACCAAATATTTTTTTCTGTGTGTTATTACGATTTTTACTCTTATCTTAAATGTGCTAAAAATGTTATAACATCGAATAAAATTTAATCTGATCTAATAATTTAATGCTGTATGCTGCATACATTTTCTGTACTTTACAATAAAATAAATAAATAAAAACTATTTTACTGACAAAATTTCCACACTTTTTCGCTAAAAATAAATTCAACTGTGTCTCATAAATCTTCTAAATGATTAGCAAACAAAATGTAGATTACATTTTAATATCGGGAAGGTAAAGGATCCACTTTATTTATCAACGTTATCGCGATAAGATTTTTATCAAGCTGCAAGAACGTGGCTAAAGAGAGTGGACGGTCAGATTAGTTTTGTTCGCAGTTTTATTTACAAAGTAACACCATTTCTCGCGAAGCGCACGGTCAAGCGACGGAGTTTTTACGTCGGATGAGTGTCACCGCAAAAGAGACGCCGCTTCAAGAAGAGCGTACCCCGAATTAAACTGGCGCTCTTACGAGCCTCCTCTCTCTTTCACCCGGCGTCGGTCGACCCTGCTCTGTTCCAACAACCCCGTTTCTCCTCTCGTCGCCGTCGGCGCATTATGGTCGCGCTGTAGCTTTTGAGAGCAGCAAACGTTTGATACATTGCCAAGTAGCACGGGACCTAGCTCGAATTAATGCGATCCGAGACATTTCCCACCCGGTCGACATTATTGCTCCAGAATTATTTGCCCGCAGGTATCAAATGTTCCGCCCGTCAAAACGATGCCTCAACAACGATAACCAAGCGCGAATTCCGATCAATTAAACGCTCGATTAGATGATCAGCTAAACATCTCCGCAAACGTTAATGTCAATAATTTCAATTGGAAAATAGCTCGACCATGTCTTTAGAAATTTAAATCGTATATTCTAAATGCGAAAATATATCAACAAGTAATTAATTCGAGAATAATTATCACGAGTGATTTTTACATGTCAACAACAAGAAAATGAAGCAGTTATATGCATACAGTAGTTTTCTTTACTGATCAGAAATTTATATCTATATTTTGTACTTCTTATTTAAAAAAAAAAGATACCAAGTATATCTATATACATAATAATCTCAAATATTAATTAACTATAGAATAATATATAATAATGTACAACATCTCATTTTAATTGAAGTATAAAAACACTCTAAATATAATTAATAATGTGACTTCTTTTTAATTGGGGCATAAAAACTCTCCAAGCACAGTTGGAAAAATTATGTTAAGTTTAACACATTTCACATGTCCTAAACAGTCCACTCTTTTAATGTTAATTTAACACAAGATGAATATATCAGAAAGTAACATAAATATTATGAAAAAAAATTAATATAAAAACACAACGTAATACTGACACAATTTGTAAGCAATTATATTTCTTCATTAAAATTAACATTTATAAAATGTTAACATTTATAATATGTTCAATTAATACACATTTTATTCATTTATCTTATAAAATTTACGTTTTACAAAAAGATCATTTTTATGTTGTTTCTTCACTTGCTCGTAAATCGTGTTATTTTAACACAAAGAAATGTTGAATATCAATTTCATATAAAATATTCAAATAACACTATCACATTATATTAAATTGACACTATGTTAAAAATTCAACACGAAATTTGAACAAAAATTCGAATGGATAGTCTCTAATACAAATATAAATTTTTTTTTATTATAAGTGATCGTTTATATAAAAAAAACCTAGGTGACTATTCTCAGATTAAACATAACACGAAGATCTCTTTGGCAATAATCATTCGCAAAGCCAATAATGTATATGCGTGTCGTATGCACCGCGTATGATTATTGCGAATCTCTCGCGTTATCGTTGTAATTTAGCACGAGATTAGCGTTCGAGCCACCGTGACTCGTAAAATGCTAATTCTCTCAAATAAGACATTACGCGATGCCTCTCTTTCTCACCTTGTCTCATCCACGACAAAACCCGCTGTCTCTACATATATATATACACACCATACGCGGAATTACACGCATACGTACGCAAACCGACACGCAGAGCGACGCTTGACATTGTGCCAAGTGGCACGAACAATTCGAAATGTTGGCGAGATCGATATCACGCTTGTGAGTTATCACGCTCGCGAGAGACAGGCGCGAAATCAATCTCGGTATTTTGCACTCGTCTCTTTCGCTTTTCCCAAAAATATGCGCGCTTTCGACAACGAAGTTCACGTTCACGTTATTCTGATTGAAACGTTCGCGTAATACACAGAGTGTCCCGAATTTAAATGTCAAAACTCCGAGAGTACAGAGAATCGATATATTAAGAAAAGTGTAAATAAATAAGTATAAATGAATAAGTATGAATAAACAAGTACAAAAATAAAAATTGCGTTTTTTTTTTTACAATTTTCTCCAAAACGAAACAAAAATGAGTACATCTAAAGGATTTTGATTTTCTTAGTTTATTGCTTTACACGCTCTCAAAGTTTTAATATTTAAATTCAGGACACTGTGTATGTATCATACAGTTCTCTGTTTTATCTGAATTCTAATATCATGATTGATAAGTGCCAAAAAAAAACTCTTTCTATACCGTGCAAAAAGCGAACGTTTTACTACGATAAAAAATTTCTACCCTTTGAGAATGTTTTTCTTTTCATTTTGTGTATCCTCCGTTATATTATATTATTCAAATAAAAATCGCAAGCAACGTAGAGATATATGGTAATAGAAAAAAAATCTTTCGCACAAGCAAGAAATTTTCTTCTCTATAAAATAGTTCGCAGCTAGTAGCGGGATTAAAGAATTCCCTTTAGAGCAATTACGAATGTCAAAGTGCTTTTTTTCAAGCGGAGTAGTGATTACTCTCGATTCCCCGTTTGCCATTGTGATCGGCGAGATATACGAGCTAGTTACGATAAGTGGGTGGAACGATCGATTCTTACCTTCGCCAGATGAGGGTTGAAGGTGAACTTGGACTCCTGCTCCTTTCGCGGTGTCTGCGCGATCGCCGTCAGTGGTGTGAGTGGTACGGTCATCTCCTGAAATGACAAAAAAAAAAGAATGGTCAGAAAAAATGATAAAGAATGACTCAACGCATTAATCTTAGAATGTATACGGAGATCTTCAAAAATGTTACGTTTACTCTTTTTGACATCATTTAACTCTTTCCGATCATCTATCCAACTTTCTTTCTTGATTTCTATTTTACTAAATTTTTACCGTTTATACTTATCTCTCAATAATATTTGATCCAATTACAAATTAATAAAAATTATCCTCTAGCTATTTATTTTTTTGTACGAACATTCATAATCTTTAAGTAAACAAGTAGCTACAGCGCGTATAATTATCTTAAGAACCTTGTTCTGAAAAATAAAATTGAAAAGTATTGCCCAGAAGTTTTGAAATTCATTATTTTTATATTTTTCAACCTCATAAAGGCGAAATAATGTAAATTTAATTCTACAAATGGAAAATTAAAAATATGACAAAAGTAAAATTACTTAATTTTTTAGCATCATCCATCTATACCTACTAAAAAGATAAGAAAGCCATGCAATCTGCAATTAAACTGC